TATATATATATTATATATAATATATATATATATTATATATATATTATATATATATATATATGGTAATTCATACAGCATTTTATTAATTCTTTGCTGAAATAAAAGCGTATTTTACGTTACATTTTATACATAGAAGAAATTAAGCCTATAGCCTACTTGCATACAGCTATTGTCTATCTGCGGAAAAATTATTAATCTTTGGATAAAATTTGCTTTACTTCAAACAAGATTGCTAACCAAATATGACACAGGTGCACAATTATGTTCGTTGCTAAGATACCAGCAAAGGGTTACAAATATCTCGAACAGCCATTCTCTTGATAAATAAAACAAAGGCTCGTAAAATGTGCTGTAAATAAGTAGGAAAATTTAGCTTACTACGCACACTTTCTGTATGAAACCAACGATATTATAATATACAATCGGTCTTATGACTCCAACCATCACTCAGCACTGATGGATACAATACAAATGAATATGCGTACCAAGGAGGGAACGTGCTTGGGTCTAATGTACCATTAAAACGTCACTGTCGATCGTCATAAAATACTGTAGTAATATTAACACACCCACAGAGACCATGCCGATATTTTACCTGATTTAGAGAGCACATTCAAATAAAACGACAGTCACTAACCTTCAGCAGTCATAATGGATATATTATCATAAGAATACGAAATGTGCGTGCAGTACCGCGCCCAGTATTTGCGTCTTCCTTTAAAATCTTACGATCACATCTACAAACTCAGATAATCTGCCTAATATATGCAGCTTTTCTTCATCAGCGGCTTTCACTAGCTCATGGATTCTTTACGACCCAACGTAATTAACAAGAGTAGGCCTAATTGATCAAGAGTATAGCACGGTGGTTGAGCGCGACACCTCGTCTGCCTTCCCAGTTTCATCTAACAGATTGAAATAAGGAAGTTGTTTGCACGAACAGGAAGGAAATAGTCATGAACTGGAAGATCAATGATTTAGCAGGCTACCAGTAACAATTTATTTGTATCTACCCCTTTGAAGCTAATGTTTCACATAATTATTATTTGTGTGATAAATTTGGACTGTCTGGATTCGTTCTTAAGATTGTCTTGAAATCTAAACAATTAGTTGATTCGGAATAACGGACCTGTTCTGGTTCTGTTGGGTAAAGCTGCGACCTCCTTAAACACCTTTGTGATCGTTCGACGTTATTGCGCCTTGGCCTGTGTCACCTGGTATGTAAATTACAACGGACATCACAACGACGTAGCAATTATTGACATGATGCAATAGGATCTGCGCAGATAATGCTAGTTAAAACTAAAGATCAATATATTACCTTGTATATTTCATTTTAAGTTAGTTATTATGAAAATTAAGAGTTTTCCTCGCGTATTAACTAATGTATACGTTTCTGTAGTGTCAGTATTTTCAATTAAAACATTCCTCTGTAAATTTTAATTGAGCAATTCGATTTTTGATTGATTTTTCGGGATTTTTACAGACAAACCAGACGATATCTAAGTGCGATCATTCATTTTCCCCTGAAAATACAATATTTACAATTAATAATTGTACGACTTACTTTAGTTTGTGTATACAATACAGTGTTTAGAATGGAACAGTTGTGTAGGCCTTTTGAAATGGAGGTCGAATGTCCCATCGACATAAACAACTTATTTGCAATTTTAGGCCTACAGTCAATTATATACCAAATCATAACAACTTAGTGCGAGTATTAATCGGAAAAAAGTGTTCATTGTGCTGCTGATTGCACTTAGTTTTTGATGAGAGTATGAAAAAATTCTAATGATTTCAGTGAGGCTCGTCACTCACTACGACAGAGGGCGCCATGAGACAATTGTCAAGTTAATGGTTAATGAAGCCATTTTTAAAAAATTTAAAGAGTTTTATTATTTTATGTTTTCATGTGGAGCTGTCACAGTTATTTGGTTTCTTGCAGTCTTTTACTGTAAAAATAAACACAGATATCTAACAATGCAACAAAGAAGGATTTTCCAAATTCAATCAGGTTTTATTTTGTGTTGTTTTATAAAGTGTAATGTGTTACATCATTTCTGATGATGACATAATTAATGCCAAAATATTGAATTGATGGCGCGTATTTCAATACTTGGAGTATGCATTATACTTTATTATAATGTGTTGTATTTAAAAAAAAAACTGTCTCAATCAGGTAAGTTAAAACACCATTAAGATTGGAGTATGCATTATACTTTCTTATAATGTGTTGTATTTAAAAAAAAACTCTCTCACAGATAAGTTAAAACACCATTAAGATCATAAAGCAGGCCAAACCATGGGGTGAAATTTGATTAACCAAAAAACTTGCATGTATGGAAGCCTGGAAAGATATGTGGAAAAATACGACAATAAAGTAGTTAGTTGAGAACTGTAGACCAAAAACACATGAACCTAATCACTGCTATTATTTGATCTACCTGTAGTGATTATTTTTATTGAAATTGGATTTACTTTTTGGCAAAAACTGTTGAAATACAAAGAATAAATAGGTTGTTGCACTCTTTAATTACTGTTGTTGAAAGACAGCAAAATATCACATTAGCGATCCCAGTTGTTCAAACCAGAAATAACGTTCATTATTTTCTTATTTCACAACCAAGATTTCAGACATATCTCATGTAAATATTCAAATCTATTTTAAAAAGCCTTCACTAATTTCAACTTGGATTTTAAGGTTCATCATTTTTTCCCTCTAGAAAGTGGAATCGAGCATGTGACATGGTTAAGGTGCCCACCTTCTAGGGTTTTGGTTCAATCCTGGTACAGGACACATGATTGGCTAAGCGGCTAAGTCAAGGCACCATAACCTTCAACTATAATATCGGCGCTGGTTCGAACGGCTCACTCGCCTATGGTTCCGGTGGTGGAACAAGTCTTCTCGGATAAGGACTTTAAACCATAGGCCCAGTTTACGCATTAGTGTACACACTCGTGTGCACTTTAAAGAACCCAGTAAATCCTTCGAGAAGAGTAGGAGGTTACCCCGGAGTACTGGTCCATTCATTCCCCCTGTTGTTTAATGGATATGCCACGTAGGATAATGATAATGTCCTTGGCGCTCGTGCCTAAAGAAATGAAATGAAAATGATCACTTGCCAAATGTTTCACCCTTATTAAACATTGTGTATACAAATTGGAATCGCCTATTATTCTGTCTCCTTCGCATAAACAAGCAAGCCAAAACCTCTCAGAATCTAACCCACCTCCAAATTCAGAATATTTGCAAGCTTTCACTACTGTATGACTGTCTCCCTGAAGCTAGCTGGCCATGAGTATCATCAGATGCAGCAAAATACAATAAGATGTGTTAAAAAAGCTTACTAAATCAGGCCTCACTGATTTTCTTTTCTTTTTTTGTTTATAGATTGTTACTCTTCCAGCATATCCTAGAAGGTAGGCTGATATTCAGGGGCCCTCTTAAATAAATTAAATTCTGTAATGTGATGCTTTTTTCATGGAAGTCTCTTTATGAGGCTTAGGGAGTGGAGCTGTATTTAGTCGTGACAAAAGTCCGGCTGTCACAGAAATTGAACCTAGGACCCTGGGATTAGAAGGCAAGCTTCTCCCAGCTTGGGAACCCTGTATTTAATATCCTTAATCAGTTTATTTCCATTATTCATCCTCCTCCTCTTCCTTGACTAGATTCCCACTTCTTGTCTGTACTCCCAGGTGCTTATTGGTCAACAATTCAAAGCTTGGTGATGATGTCACCGCCCTGTAGACATCGTTAGGCAGGATTTCTTGAGGTGGTCTGCAGTCACTGCGACACTTATAAGCTTCAGCAAGAGAGTCCCTCACCAAGTCACTCATGAACTGCTTAGCAGCCTGAAAAAAGAAACAACAAATAATCTTGTTAATTATTTATTACATTGCTGTAAAAAACATTGTAAAACAATGATGTACAGGGGCTGAGAGATGTCCGAAAGGGGCCCCAAAAGAGATAACACTTCCCAAAGGGGTCCGTGAAATAATTGTTTTCTAGACACCCAAAAAAACATTTAGAGGCGTTTTGGCTGATCAATTATTTCTTTTCTTTTTTTCTTTTAAAAATTTCCAAAGGGGGTGGGGAGGGGGCTGCCCATGCTGTAGTAAATGATGGCTTGATCTCAATTAAGATCCAGAAGTGTAAACTAATATTCATATACTTTTTCAAACAGCCAAAGAGTAAATCAAATTCATTTGGATGTTGTGAGCCAATGAGAGGCATGAGAATATGAGATGCTACAAACACTTAGACCCAGAACTAGAAGGAATAAACATCCAAGACAAAATATTTACATATAGAATCCTTCTTACATTAAAGATCATTTCTTGTGTAGCAGGAATGAACACGTCTTCAGAAGCCTCAACTTGTTTCAGTTTGATCCCAATCTGCAAAGTAGATAAGAAAACCCATTACTGTATCTATACTTACTTTACAAAATTCCACAATGTACTATATGCATACATTTAGTACACAAATATCTACATTTATATATTTTTGTTTGCACGTTAAAATTAGAATAATTAGTACTGTATAAACATTAAAAATGATACGTATCACATCACAGTAAAGCAAGAAACATATTGAAAATACACACATACCTGTTGACACATTTCTTCTATCAATATGGCGCCCTCACTAGGTGGCATATAAACCTTTGGTTTCAGAGGTTCTACGGAGGGCTCACTTTTTATTATGACATGCGATGGGCTCTTTACAGAGATGACATCAATTTCCAGATCATCACTGTCCTGGAACCCATTCTTGGATTCCTCTTGTTTACTTTCTATCTTGCTTCGTAACTCATCTGGTGACGAATATGAAGTTGATTTCAAATACCCTTCAGGAGAAAAAATAGATAGGTACTTTAAGAATTAAAATATTAGATCAAAAACAAATATAGTAATACCACAATGGTAATAATAACCAAAATTGGATGCTCAAAGCGCAGTGTCTTGAAAAAGTCCCTTTTTCAAATATATCAAAATACATCAAAATTTATTAAATATGTAACAACTCTTGTAACTACCATAAATAATATATCCTTAGTTTTTATGCTTACCAAGTTCTGACAGCCACCTTTCTTTGCACTTCTGTGTGCTATGCTCCTCTGTCTCATCTTTGCCTTCATCGCTAATAACTTTCTTCACCTCTCCACAAATATCACACCATTCTATTGCAGATGTCTTATCTGAAGGGAAAAAGAATCATTATTACAAAATAAACATCATGGTAACTATATATTAAACTATATTATATACTAGCCTTACAAAAAAGCAGTGCTTAACAGCAAAGACAATGTTGGTGATGATGGCAACAATAATTGCTGTGGTGGTACGATGATGATGATGATAACGAAAACATTATTAACATGGACAAACGTTGGCATCTGCTAGCAATGTGTTGTCTGTTTATGTTACACATCTGTTGTCAGATACTCTTTAAGGTCCATTCATAAAAACCGAGACAACTTCTCTCAGTTAACTACTTACAGACAAATATGTGTTTTCAACTGGCTATGAAGATAAAATTACTAGGAAGGTATTCGGACTGGCACAAACAAGAGATAGAAATTGCAAAACACTGAGATTACATGAGATGAGGAATAAAGAATAAGGAATGAAAGAATGAGGAATTAAAGAATGGAATCTTTAAAAACATGAAGAGAAAGAAGATAAGTGGTAAATACATGTTCAAAGTTATGAAAAGAACATTCTGATAGAAATTCTTGCCTTTAACATATGGCATGTAACCATGATTTCGACACCACACCATAATCCTTTTTGTTGTCCAAACATCTGTCAGATTGAAGGTACACTCTTTTGAATCAGAAATCAGCTTCTTGACATTCTCTTTGATTGCAACCGCCCTCTGCCATTCACACGCCTTCCTTTTGATGATGTGCCAGGAATGAAACTGTTCAACAGATGTTGCACAAAATGGAAAGATTGTTGGGTCTAAGCAAATTGAGAAGAATAAAGTAGCAGTATTATACATAAGATGATGATAATATTAAGAACATTAATGTAATAGAATAAAAAAAAAAAAAAAATAAACAAATTACTCACCACTGATTTTGTTTATCATTGGTATTCTTTTAACAACAGCCTTTACAAGATTCTCCATAGATGAAACTTCCTTGAGGTCAATACCCTTCTTAGGAGGTACTTCTACAGACTTTTCTGTGCGAACACCAAACTTAGGCTCACTTAGGACTGTTGTGCTTTGGCCTTGACTCTGATGACCCATAACATGGTGCACAACTTGCTGTGCTGAGGGTTTTGTTTCTTGTTTAACAGGTGTAATAATGAACTTCTTAAGGAAATCTTGTTTTATTCCACTTGTGTTCATGTTTGAGCTCACTCCAATGGAGGTGAAGGGCAGAGAATCTTTCTTGGAGGGGGCTGTACCAGTGCTTGGAGGAATCGCAGCAATAAGTTCTGAACCTGTTGCTAAGGCTGGTGGATTTTTAACAATGCTCTCAACTGAGTTTCCAGGTTTCAGAATTTCTTTGCCAGTAGATAAGCCACTTATTGAAGATAGGCAAGATTTTCCACCAAGTATAGTCAAGCCTTGAACTTTCACTACGTTTCCTGTTTCTTGAATTTTCTTTGCTGTTGGAAGAGATGATCTGATTACTCCGCTCTCTTTCACAACTCCAATTTGACCTGTTATGAGGGAAACACCTTTAGTTGATATGACCTTTGTAACCTGAGTATCAGCTTGGCTCAAAGTGCTTAAAGATTTAGGTGTTGCAATGACGATGCTCTGTCCAGTTGAGGGTAGCACTGACTGTCCAACAGTAACCATTGTCTTTGTTGATGTAGCTGATGGAAGCACCGCTGAAGAAACTTTCTGGGTTAGGATTGGGATATGGTGAGCTATTTTTACCTGTGTCATTCCACTGGTTCCCTGTTGACGTGAACCAGAGCTTCTCTGCATCAGAACTACACCGCCAGACTGAGTTCGAACAAGTTGCCCTTTTTGATCTGGGAGTAAGCTTACTCCTTGGCTTGCTTGCTTTGTAACAGCCTGGCCATGTATAGCACCTGTTTTAGGAGTTCTTTGGACTTGTATGAGTCCAGTGGTAGGAGTCATACTACGATGCACCGTTTGAAGTTTAGGTGCTTGTTGTTTAGAAGGACTCACCCCTTTTGTGGGAATAGATGGACTTTTTCCACGAACAAGAGTTGCTTTATTTGCTTGTGTTGGGACCTGTTGAATTTGGACAATGCTTCCAGATGGCAAAGGAGGAACAATAGATCCTTGTGGCAGTATTAACACATTACTAGGAGAGAGGAAGGGTCCTTTAGTAGCTGCACCAGTTGCCTTTTTCCCAGTTGCTCCAGGCTTTGCAAGGGCAGTTTGAGGGGTCTTGTTAGCTGGGGAGCGACTTGTTACTTTACCGACAGTAGTTTTCTGTTGTGTAGATGCTTGGGAAAACACCTGCTGTGGTATAAGTATCACCTTGCCTTGGAGATTAGGATCTGAAGATGTCGCAGTGATGTAATACTGGGTTCCAGGTGGTGGCTGTGGAATAGCAACTTGAGAACCACTTTTCTTGCTTTGAGATGTTCCCTGAACTTTCTTGACTGCTGTCACTATAGTAGGTTTTTCTGTAGTAACTAATTTTGGCTCTGAGGTTGCAATCTCAGATAGGATCTGTGCTGCGGTGGAGGTAGATGGAAGTTGAGATGATGTACCAGATGGCGTTGAAGATATTGCAATCTGTTTACCCACTTGCACACTAGCAGCTGTAACTATTGTCTTTGCAGTGGATGTGGTTGGAGAAGAATCAGTAGGAGGCGGTGAAATCTTTGCATCCATTTCCTCTTTACTTTCCTCTTCACTACTTGGCACAACCTTTCCATGTCGAATTCTGATTGCCATCTTCCCAGGGGAAGTCTCAGATGCCATATCTGCTACATTCACAGCTCCATCAGGAGCATCTTGTAATTCCTCAGAAACCTTTGTCCCTAAATTATGAGTTTCACACTTTTCTGCAACCTTTTCCAGTCGTATCCCTGATGATTGTGACATTCTTAATCCGCTGGTGATAGGTCCAAGAGGTGGCATCGTCCTTGTAGTTGAGGTAGAGTGGGAAGAGCTCAAATATTTGGAATCTTCAGAGGATACTCCCATGGTTGAGTTTGAAGAATCTGTTTCCATCGGGACAATTAAAATGTCTTTTTTCCTTTCAGGAATGACAGCAGCAAATGTTCCACTGTTACTAAGAAATTCCTTCTCTTGTTTAGGAGTCGTCGGTGCTGGATCAGACATTATAAAACTACCAATTGACTTCATTGACGATTCTAAATAAATTTCAGTATTAAGAGTGTCAACCATTTTATCAAGCGCTTCTTTTCTTGCTTTTGAAACTTTAGGACTAATAGGATGACTGACAGACCTCTGACGCATTGGGGTTGTGGCAGTACTTGGACTGGAAGTACTGGACCCAGAGATACTTAAACTTGAAATCTGAGGTTTGCTTCCTTCTCTGTAGTTGACATTTGTTATTGCTGGAGAAGCAGGTCTTGGAAAGTCATTAAATCCATTATTATCAGTTAGATATCTATCGAGTTCAACATCAACAATCTAATAAAACAAACAGCATCATTTTGTATAATATTGCTATGATCAAGATTTCTCTTTGCAATGCACATACCATTTTTTATGTGATAAAACCAAGGTATGAATTGAATAAATTTATCAAAAGCTCTAGTAAAATGCATGTACTAATGTTGCCACTAACATGTTTTATAATAGGCCTTTTTCATGCTGCGGTAGACATTTTCGATCAATGACAAACAATGCTGAGCAGTGAAGCGTAACCAACAGAAATAACATAGCATTTCGGCCATATTTTCGGAGGTCATGTTACTCAAAAAATCATATATCCTTAACGGTGGGTCGTGTCAACATATTTTTTTCTTTAAAATGTTCGCAAAGGATATATCTATGTACTGTATGAATAAAAAAAAATTGAAAATTTGTTTAGTCTGTCAAAACTTGAATGGGAAAATAGAAAACCGATTTTGAACAGTGTATGCTGCTATTATTTCAATAAGTTTTGACAGACTAAACAAACTTTAATTTTTGTGTTACTCATACAGTAGATATATTCTTTGCGAACATTTTAAAGAAAACATTATGTCAATACGACCCTCCGACTCTTTAAGTAACATGACCTCCGAAAATATAGCCGGCACGCTAAATGATATTCGGTCGAACAGTGAAATAATGGCAATGTATGTGTTAACAATACACAAAATCGTTCTTCCATTTTCCAGTTAAGTTTTGACAGACTAAACAAATTTTCAAATTTTTTTTATTCATACAGGACGTAGATATATCCTTTGCGAACATTTTAATGAAAAATTTATGTTGACACGACCCTCCGTTAAGGATTTATGATTTTTTAAGTAACATGACCTCTGAAAATATGGTCGAAACATTATGTTATTTTTATTGGTTATGCTTCACTGCCCAGCACTGTTTGTCATCGATCGAAGATGTCTACCGCAGCGTGGAAAAAGGCCTATTGTTAAAATTTACAAAAAACAGTTCATTAATTAGAAAAAGCATTATATAATTTTCAATACCAGTACTCACCGTCTCGGCTCCAAGAGTTTGTAAACCAGTGTATGTACGATCAAGCTGAAAAATTATAAAACAAAATTGCAAGTTGCATGCATTAAAAATGACGGTTGGCAATAGCAGCAATTATTTACTTATCCATGAGACAATTATATACATATTCATGAGACAAATACATATTCATGAGCAGAACTGTAAAGCATTATCTTACCTTGATTTGGTGAATAATGTCAACCTTCTTATTGCGAGGATCTACAAAGTGAAGCTGAATACGAATGGGAAATTCGCCCCACCCCCGACGAGTAAGATGAAAGGGTGGCTCCCTAGAAGAGTAAAAAAGGGGTAAAACATTTTATCTTGTGATTTTTTGTATTTTTTATTTGGTTCATTTAGGATCAAATGACATACCAGAATGATAACCACTTCAGAATCCAAAAGAATTTTGCCACTTTTGCTCACACCTTTTCTGCTTGCTCATATCTTTTTTCTGACCATTCTTGTTAATATTAAAGAATTCCCTTTCTCAAAAAAGTTATTTTATCATGCTTTTCCATTTCTCTTTTACCTGTTATAGATTCTCTGATTATTCTCTTCTATAAGGTGTTTTATAATTTCAAACATTAATATTTTATTATATTCAAATGATTATTACCATATTTGAAACATAACCTAAGAAATATTTCAATCAATCTTTCAATCAATAACTTTTTAATCAACAATCAATCAATAAAACAATCAATCAATCTTAACCAATTAATAACAAATATTCCAATTATCCTCTTCCTTACTTGACTTCTACAAGATCATTCGGTCTGTAACTTGGGTGCAAGAAAAACCAAACTTTTTTGACAAAATGATCAATGCTGGGCTCATTGGACGGTCCCCTAACATACACCATCCACTTATGAGTGGACGGGTCACTCTCCTCTCTCTGGTCAGCAGATATATACCTATCGGTCAAAAAAACTTAATCAGTAAAATTATAAACACTATTTTTATTTCAAATATATCAATATCATTCAATGGCAGCTGAAGTTGAATTGCAGAAATAATTTTAAGAAGCTCACATTATAAAAGAATTCCAACATCAATTTACACAAGAAAAAATATTTATAGTTATTTCCACCTATCCAATAGTTATTGTACTTAAATATATATTTAAATGTATATGTTTAACAAGTTGTGTATTTCATTCAACAGAAAAATGTTGAAATACACTTATTTACACAAATCATCATGATAATAACATATTTATATACAAATAAATATATGTAAAAGTACTTACTTTGACACGTTACCAACAATGATTCTCTTTCTAACATCGTAACGAAAGCCTTCACGTTGAGGGGGTACCCGGCTTGTGTTTCCTGGGTCCTCCAACTGTTAATAGACAGAAAAAATATTAGATTGCAGAAAATATAAATATAAGAATTATGAAATGTGTGTATACAACAGATGTTGGGAATTCATCAATGTGTCTGGTCATAACTTTAACTGGTCAGCATGTTTGTCATGGTATATATTAGGACTTAGGCTACATATTTTGTTTTTGTCATAGCCAATTACACTTCGGAGGCACAGGATGTTTGCATTTCAACAGGTATAGCATGGATGATTCTGAATAACACCTTATGTGACTGCAACAATAAATAACATTTGTATAATTACTATTTTAAGTATTTTAAACATGTATACCTTTTCCGAGTCTTGTGTTGGCTCATCAACGGTCATCTCATTGTTTTTGTCTTCGACTTGGCTCAATATTTCCGAATCGGGTGTGCATCGTTCTTTCTCATTGGCTGTCTTTTTATCGTTGTCAATCTGCTGTGATGACAGTGCAGCTTTTTGTTGTTTCATGACTCTCCTAATGGCTGGATGATTCACATCAACTTTTGATGGCTTAGTTTTCTGTGATTAAATAGTCAAACCTTTGTAGTAGGACTTCAAAATACACATGAAGCACAAGATTTATGGAGCCATAGACTGGCGGTTATGATACCTACCTGGGTACTGTGTTTAAGTTCTGTGAATTTACAACTAAAAACAACTTTAACCCTCATAACAAGTCTCAGTTTATGGAGAGCATTAATTAGTTACCAATACTTACCACTCAACTTGTATTTTATACAAAAAAAATATTCATAAATACTGATATTCATTTAAAAATTGTGTTTAATGTATGCACACTATATTCAACTTTTCAATTCAATTCAAATTTATTTGAGCATAATTCAACACATTACAAATAACAAAACAATGAACAATAAAATACTGTAATTTAGTAAAACATTTACAGCTCAGGATAACCCAAAAAAACCGAATCAGTTTATTTCCGTTGGGGTCCCTTAAATTAAAAAAATTACATAAAAGTTGGTTAAAAACTAAAACAAACATTAAAATTTATTTAAACCTTTAAAATTACTAATGAAAGTAAAACTAATAAAAGAAATAAAACCCATTAAACCTTAAAAGTATGTAAAAATGAACTAACCTCAGAGTGTGAATTACTTTTAATGTTGCCATAGTAACTCGCCACAACACAAGCTCGTAGTTTATCTAGCATCACTCGAACTTGGTGGATTCTCTGAAAATGCATCAAATAATGAAATTTTCTTTTTTCACCAAAATTGGTCAACAATTAGGGGTAGGCTTATTCATGGGAAATTTATAATTTTATATAAAAAACTAAGAAAATTTAATGAGACTTTATAGGTTCATAAGGCTTGCATGTAGTAAGGGACATACCTGTATTGGGGGTTTATTCTACAAACCTTCTCACCAGGTTTACTTACTTCATCTATTAGTTCAATCTCTTTTTCCCTCTGCTTTCCTTCAATTGCAAACTTCTTTTTAATTATTGCTTCTATCTTCTTAACAGTCATTTCCCGTGCAGCTAAGGAAAAAACAAAAAATTCAGAAGAAATACATACATACATATATATGTATGTCTCTTATACACATCTAGATGTGTATAAGAGACAGTACTAAATAATATATAAACATTATAAAAGAGTAAACAAATATGCCTAATAAGAGAAATAATGCAAGTAAGCTACATTTTGCTGTGCAGCTACTCTATCCAAACAAAAGAGATGGCTTATTATATATGGTATGGTAAAACTAAAGTTCAAGATAATATTTACCATCTTCCTCCTTTGTTCTGGGTTTCTTGCTTGGGGAAATGGTAGGGGCATCTTCATAATCTGGGTCTTGGTCAGTTTCAAGCTTCCTCTTTGTTGTAACCCCTGGTCTCATTGTTGTAAATTCTTCAAATCAACAACAAATCTTAGAATCTACACAGGCTACAAACAACACAACAATTTTATCATAATCATATTCATTATAAACAAAAACTATCTAGTTCTTGTACGCATCTATCAATTATTGGCTACACATCTTAATTCTTATGTCTTGCATTTCACTTCCTTAAACAACCATCGGCCTAATTATTAATACAACAGGCTGGCATTTAAAACTGTTCTCACGTTTGAGATCGTGGGTGAGACACTTATCCCTGCTGCAAGCCTGCTCCAGGATTAGTAAGTAGACCCTAGGCTAGGCCTAACTAGCCTAGCCTAACTTACGAAAACGCATGTTTGCAACTCACCTTCGTATCTAATTCAGAGTATGAGGCTACCAGACAAAACAAAAATTAATCTAGTATTTTATTATACAGTATAGGTATATAGCCTAATCTATTTGTATACTTCCGGCCATGATTTTATAATTTATTATGAGTTCGGTAAAAATTCACCTCGAGTCTCACTCAGCTAGTGCATATATATGGGACGCCGTTTGGCCAATCATTAGGACGCAATTATACTCTTAATAAAGGTACTTGAGCGTTATATATTTAGTTAGTGCGCCCTCTAGTAGTCGGTAAAAGTTTAACTCCCACAGAATTAGCCTTTTGTTGTAGCATGGTTAATGGTTAATGGTTTTTAATTTATTTATTTTTGTTGTAGGCACTGCATTGGAATCACTCCTTTCTACTCTATTGTAATACCGATTCCTTACTATTAAGTGTAATAATCTTATAACTACTACAATACTTATTTTCGTCATTGAAATCAATTTTCTAGAAGCCTACGTTTTATAACATAACAGAATCATGGCCCTTTATGTATGTTCATTTAGGCCCTATTCAATTTACCCGATTGTGTGCATTGCTTCAGAAACCTATGTCCTATTTTTTGCTTTACGTGCGCGAATTTTGTTTATGATCATGCGCATTGTGTGCTCTTTCGTCAAGATGCTATCAAACGCGAGATAAAGATGATCAATACAATGGTTACTATGGTGATCAGGTGATAGTTGATGATTCATTCCTCGTGAGGCCCATTTTCAACGACTCAAGCTTGATTTTGCAAATTGCATCCAATAAAGGACAGCACTTCTGATATCATGATATCATGTGTGATAATTAAAACTGATCCCGTACAGAGAATGAGAGGTACAGCGTGTGTTCTGCTTACAGCAGACGCCCTACGGTCATCTTTGCATATTTGGAACTAAAAAATACTGTCTTTTAATTATAACATAGGCCCTATGTTTTCGCAAAAATCATCATCATCCACCAGCAGCAGCAACAACATTGTTATCATCATCAACATTATCATCAAAAATCAGTTGTAGGTATAGGCCTAACAAGATTTATATACTATTATATAATTATGTATTGCATTACAAACTGTCAACAACGTCTGGATTTTCAAAACTACTTTTAATTAATTTGCATAAACCAATAATAAAGACCAGAGTAAACAAATGAGTCACCATGTTATTCAACTTCCGATAGTAAGGCTAATTAGCAATAGTACGATTAATTTGATCAGGAAGAAAAGCGACGCGTTAAACGTTAATTTGAACTTTGGTCCTCCGTTAACAGAATGGAGAATTATTTACCTATACCTTCTATGCTGTAATAATAATAATAATAATAATAATAATAATAATAATAATAATAATAATAATAATAATAATAATAATAATAATAATAATAATAATAATAATAATAATAAGCCTCATGTCAATAAAAAAATGTTAACGACGATGATATTATAATTATGGTAATGATGATATGAGGGTGATGATGGTGAAGAGGAGGAGGGGATGATGATTAATAATGTTGATATTGATATGGTGATGAGAATAAAATAATAATAACAGCAATATGATGATGATGATGATGATAATAATAATAATAATAATAATAATAATACAATAAAATGTCCCTTCTCGTAAGTAACACATCTTTCCAGTTACAGTTTTACATTTAATACATCTAAAGTTTGTATTAATATTCATGAATTTAACCTTGGGTTTAATAATAATAATAATAATAATAATAATAATAATAATAATAATAATAATAATAATAATAATAATAATAATAATAATAATAATAATACAATAAAATGTCCCTTCTCGTAAGTAACACATCTTTCCAGTTGCAGTTTTACATTTAATACTTCTAAAGTTTGTATTAATATTCATGAATTTAACCTTGGGTTTTAAATAATTTCTCCTATACGGGCGTCTTTTTTAATTCGTCATCGCAGCGTAAATCGTTTTCGAAAAGGGCGATCGTTTGTCATCTTTGCGGTCGTCATTTATCGACATGATCATCATCAAATCTGTCATGGTCACTCTCGATTTTATCGACTGACTTATTGTTCTTTTCGAATTTATAATCACCATTGTAATATCATTCGTCATATTGCACTTTCACCAGAAAAAAAGGACATCGGAAAGCTCTTGTGGCCGGTATGGCACGCTAGGCATTCGAAGATCTACAAGTTTAGTTATCTAAAGTATTCAGTGTCTAAAGACCTCAAACGAATTCCGCCCTCTTCAAGTCACAGAAAAAATTAATAAAGATTTAGTCATACAGAAGACGCATAACAAGGAAATTTGTATGTTATTATTATGGGATATTATCGAATAGTTGAGGATTTTAGAAATGCAACTACTTATCTATTTATACTTTTTGTCTGTAATGGAATTAATAATTTATATATATAATTTGTAATACATTCTGTAGCTGAAAAAACATCATTACAATAACTTTCTATAAAAACCGAAAGGTCCACTGATTAATCTCAGATAAGAAAGTATAATACATACTCCAAGTATTGAAATACACGCCATCGTGTTGGGATTCAATATTTCGACATTAATTATGTCATCATCAGGACCTGATGATGACATAATTAATGTCGAAATATCGAATCCCAACACGATGGTGTGTATTTCAATACTTGGAGTATGTATTATACTTTCTTATAACTTTCTATATTTGCTTGTATCAGCTAAAGAAGAATAATTAATATAAGTACCGATATAACAACAAAAACACCAATAAAGTAAGTAATATAATGAAGCGGCCTCATTATATTATCGATGTTTAATGCAGTTTTCTCGTATTTTTAAAAAGAATGATTAGATAACTAAGAACAATTTGAATGATAACTGTAAACCTTTTGTAGTCAAAAAACAACGACATTCCTTTTAGTGCGCCCTCAAAATCATTCACTCTCAAAACTAATGTCATACACAGGTTAGGAACTGTGACGTTAACAGTTATTTACATGCATCATTTGAATAATATTATGTTGGAGAATGAGTCATCGAGTGAAGTCCTTAAGCATATGAGAGATAAAGATTCTTTAGCGAAAGTGAGTTGAAATGGCCGCTAGTTATGTTGAAGGCAATAAACCCAGACTACATGTAATTACCATCATCATCTAGGGCTCGAAAGATGGTTTACAGAGTAATGACTGAATTCAATGAAAGAGAGGTGTTCCTTGCGTGGGGGAATTTACATTTACGAGTTGTTTTATATTCAGTTAAGCTACAGAGGTGCTATATTATGGTTACAACATGATCCCGAATTGACGTATAGAAATGACAAATACAGAAATCAAAATACCGCATAGAATCAAAACGAAATATTGAAGATAACAACAGGAAATGGTGTCGAAAAGGGATGCATTAGATACCTATGTAGGCCTATGTATTTTGATTGAGATATTACTAAATAATTTATTCAATTCATCAACAATACGTACACTCACCAATTATAGCATAAAACCATTTAATGTTTGAAGATTAATTTTAGTCCTTCAAAAAATCCTGATGTAAACCAAATACAGTCACCTGTATGATGGTGACAACAACAACAACAATGATGATGATGATAATGAGGATGGTGATGATAACCATGGTAAGCAAAATTATAACAATAACGATTATTACTATGATAGTGACAATGATAATAAATTACATTGATAATTATAGGCATAATGATGATCTAATAATATCGTGTGCTATACAATAATATTGGCATTTATTTCGACAAAGGTGTTTCAATCACGTTGCCCGAAATTGCATAGCCCGCTCCTAATGGAACATAAATAATTTGTTAAACAAAATTTTTAAAATAATAGTTCATTACCAAATAATCACCACTTCCATATACAAATATTTTTTTCCTTTTAATAAATAAAAGTCAAATTTTCAGGAGGAGATTTCAATCATACGAGTAGTATACATGCGATTAAATGTAGCTTGTTAATTTATTCAGAGTAAAACAAAGCAACATCACACCACTTGGATTATCTGAGATTTGAAGATGCATTATTGTAACAACAGTTGATCCATACTCGTTTTTCCCGATTCTTCAAAAGTTCGCACTGTTCAAACACAATAAAATCGTAAATCTTAAAGGGCTGCTCTAATCGAAAAACCACCAACTAGATTGTAAGGCCTGTTGTAGTACAATACTCACTTTTCCAAACATAACGATAACTATGATCATCATGATAGTTATAATATTAGGAACGAAAACACTAATGATCATAAAACTTACCATGATATCCGTATGTTGTCACGGTGATTGCTTAATAATAATAATAATAATAATAATAATAATAATAATAATAATAATAATAATGATAATATTAATAATAATGATAATAATAACAACAACAACAACAACAACAACAATAATAATAATAATAATAATAATAATAAGAATAATAATAATATGGTTATTTATTTCGAATGAAAAGTTTCGAATTTATCCCATTGGATGTTGCGATGGGATTGCATCTTAGTTCGTTTCTCACTTGATAATCTATGCACATAAATCATTATTTTTTTATTACCGTCGGACAAAAGGTTCAGATAAGTACCATAAGTATCGGAAATAATCGCCACTTCCATTTACCAATGCGCAATAGCTCCTCAAAGTGGCCTACTACAGATAAGACTCGTTTCGAAAGAAAAAAACACACATGCACGCCTGACCCATCATTAACAAAGTGACCTACACATCGTTCGATTTGTTTACAGCAGCAAATGCAAACGCCAATAAAGCGACCTAAGCCCCGGTGTAAGCTCTTGCACAGTTAACAATTGAGCCGCAAGTCGAGTTGCGCGCGAATTCAATTAACAGGCGATGACTCATCATTTTTTTAACGTTGCTATGATTGCCAATGTCATATTTCCATATGGCATTCAATATTGTGAAGAGATATTAATGAAACTGCGTTGTGTTTGCACAAAGCTGTGACAACTCGATATGCCTCTATTCTGTCGACTGGAAAATCGCTTTTTGTGATCGAAGTCGTTTACACGATGATGCTGCTAAAAAGTATACCCCTCGCATGCTACAGAAATTGCGTTCACACGGCAAACAACGATGCCTTCCTGTTGCTTGTGATATGTTACTACTCACTTCGCGTTCATATGGACTGTACGC